CAACAGCAACTGCAACAGAGCTGCGCTTAGCTTGGAAACGGTTCACTCAAGTTGCGGCACAGTCGGTTACTACTCGTTAGAAGTGGATAGAGCAAGTGAGGCTGAAGTACGACTTGAAGGCGAAAGTCATCAGGCAGTATGCATGTCTGCAAGTATATGATGACTTCACTTGCCGCTTGCGCCTGTTCACCACTACTCACAGGTGCGAGATGTGCTAGAGGTGCAAGAAAGTGCTTCTCTCTGCGTCTCTCAAAGTGTGTGTTGTCTCAGCGCTCTGTATGGCTGGAAGAGATTGGCAATGTGTCGCAGCAATTTATATGTGTGCATGTACGCTGACTGAATGAGTGTGGGTATGTGTACGGTATATACCTTTGCTGTCTTGCCTTCAATCGCTGTAAGTTGGACCGATCGTAGAGTATCCAAAGGAAGAGGACGACCAAACAGATGAGCACTACTGAGACGATGAGAACAAGCAACAGGATGGTGGGCATCGCTAGAACCATGTGCCAGTAGAGGTGAGCACTACTGCTCCACTGCGGATGCCGCCGCTGCCGCCGCCGCCGCCGAAAAGCAAATGGAAGTGTTGCAGTGACGGAGCTGCTGTTGATTTGCTGCTCACTCACTTTCTCTCACTCTTGCTGTCTGCGCTGCTGTCGTTGATGGTGGTGGTGATGATGATGGTGGTGGTGGTGGTAACGAGCGGTAATGGCGTGAGAAGGCACCGGACGCAGAGTAGTGCACCGCACAGGCCAGACACACTGCTGACTGCTAGTTGAGATCGACGCTGCTGTGTCGTTGCAAGACAAAACTCCACTGCTGGTGTTGATGCTCGGGCGCAAAGCACATTGCCGCCGAAAGAATGAGAAAGGGAAAAAGAAAAGAAAAGAGAAAGTGTGCGAGGAAAAGAGAGAGAAAGAAAGAGTGCTTTTCAGGGACAGGCAGAATTGAGGCAAAGTCGACAAGTGAAGCATCAATCGATTAAGTGCCGCGCACTCGTCGTTATTAGACAGTGCTGTGCTGTTCCGTCTGCGCCGAACGTAAGCGTTCGAGCTTGAGTGGGGCACCGAGTGGAGTGGGGCACTGGCACTTTGATTAGCAGTAATCCTCTTCCTTGCAAAGCGCCACTTGTCCCCCAACGAATGCACTTTCCTCCTCCACTGGTCGAGTCTCCAGATACTGCTGTCGCTGGGTGATATCGCCAGCAGTGAAGTATATTTGATTAGAGGTGATAGGCGATACCGGAGAACCAGTTGCTTGCAGTGAGACTGGACACAATTCAAATGGTGACCAGGGCAGAGGAGAGATAAGCTGACAAGTGACGATTACTGCTGCTGCCTTTCATCAACCACTGCTGAAAGTATTGAATGGCTCGATGGATAGTATTGCTCATATGCACAGTGAGAGAGAATAGAAGGCGACAGGTGGAGATAATGTTGAGGGAAACACTTGGAGTCTGTAAAGCACAGAGGGCAATGGCCCAAGGAAGAGGTGAAGTAGGTATTGTGTTGAGTCACTTTGGTTCCGGTGCCGCTGCTCTTTTAGATGCTGATGAGAAGTGATACACAGACAAATGCACAACGCACATGTGGACACTGTGTCAGGTGGTGGTGGTGGCGGTGGTACAGCGCCGCTGACACACTTGCTGGTTCACTTGGGTCTGCACTACTAGTAGAGTCACTTGGCCTGCAGACTGAAAGTCTGTTCTGCACTGTCGACACACACAATTTCTCTCTCTCCCTCTTTGTTTCTCTCTCTCTCTCTCTCTCTCACCAGTGAAGACCGACAGCAACCGACTGACTACCAGAGAGCGACAGACAGTGCGAGTACTCGCTCTCTGGCAGTGGCATCTCTCATAATAACAATGCTCCGATCCTGTGGTGGCAGTGTGCCGACGACTCTGCCGACGATACTGTACGACTACTCTGGCCAGTGCTGAAGAGTACAGAGCGTGTGAGCAGTTGTGCGATCAAGCACACTCAGTGAACACCTTGGATATTATCAGCTGCTACTAAGCTGGAGGGATGCATTGCCGCTGACAAAACTGTGTCTTCTGCTGCTGAGTGAGTGAGTGAGAGTGCTCGTCAAGAGTGCCTTCTGTTGTCAGACAGACGCACACTGGAAACTACTTGAGAAAAGGGGGAGGGAGAGAGAAGCCTGTCTGTAGAGTCAGACTGAACAAAAAGATACTGAAAGTTAGATTATTTCATATTTTATTATAGCATCAGAGAGATTTTCTCGAGCATGAGCATGAGATAGCGTGTTGATAAGAAAGCATAAATCTACCAGTGCACTGCCGAGTCCGATAATAGAATAATTGCCACTGCTGCTGCTAGGTGCAGATGATTAGGCAATTAGGAAGGCGATAATGATGTGAATGAAGTTGGAAAAAAACTAATTTGGATGCAAATAGCTAGATGAAAAGAACAATTGCCACTATCATTTAATTGTGTCTGAATACAGGTGTGTACTGGTTAAATTTCTGGTGAGTGTACACGCATTGTACAGTTCTCGCAGTTGACTTCAATGTACACTACCGTGTTTTCCTAGTAAAAGTATTTTTAAAGAGCTATTTATTGTAACGAGAAAATTCAAAGAAAACTCGATCAGTTGCCATAGCAACAGACCCGATGACATTTGGAATAAGCTTGCTAAAGTAGTTCAGGTTTTAAAGTTTTATTGACGTTTCTCAAGTGCAAGTTTTCTCATTATTCATTTTCTATCATGAAAAAGTGTAATTATTGACTGGATAGTGGTAAATGAGATTTATTGAGAAGTTTACATTTTGACTTGGTTGCTGGCCTGTTTTTCACAATTTTGTCTTAGAAAAAGTTCAATGATGTAGAGATGTTGATTGCGAAATGAGCGACGCCAAAGAAATAGAAGTACCTAGCAACTGACTTGAGTGTTCCTGTTCGTTAGCATATTCTATGCATTAGCATGGCTGACTGCACACACGAGCACATCATGTGAGCATAAGTTCACAGTGAGTACTTTTACAGACGAACATCTGTCGGCAGCGAAGCAATACTGTTGTCTTCTCAAGCAAGCACTTTTTCTCACAAATTCAAACTGAAGAGAACGGTGTTGCAATGCGCACGTGAAAATAAACATCTGCAAACATGATTCATTCCTGTCAGTCTTCAGACTCATCGGAACTAGATTGAGCGTCTGTTTATTTGTGGGTAGTTTTGAAGGCACATTAACATGGTAATTAGTGTGACCAATTGACAATCGCCTCATTTTGATTACCCCTTACTGTCGTGGTAGCTAGAAAGAAATCACGACGGCACTAATTAACAGCTGATGGCATGCCATGTTAATGTTTGCGTAAAGTCTATATTTGCAGTTAGTGATAAACCTTTCCTAATGTCAATAGTCCACTCTGGCGGAAGTACTTGTAGTTTGCTGCACCTCTGAGGCTCCAAGCAACTGGTAAAGTTGTCTGCAACCGTCAGTACATTAACCGGAATACTCTAATTAGGCGCAAACGAGCACAGTAATTAGCGCTTGAATTTTGGATCAACAAACTGCTTATTTGTTCACTCTTTCAGAGAAAAGCAATTAATTTTTAAAGTGCGTGATTCTTACACCTAAAATCAAAATGCCAAACTGACCGATTTCCTTCATATTGTCATGTTTTATTGCACACTTCATCTAACTTTTATGTATGAACAAGTTTCTTTAGAATTTCTCAAACAGAAAACTATTTTACCACTAACTGAAAGGAGCATTCTCCTTCGTCAGCTTGTCGCTTTAGTATTTACCGCCAACGTCGGTTGCACTCAAACACCGGCAATCAGCACACATATTCGGTCTGCATCTTATCGTCGGCAATCGCTCTCGGAAGTGACACTAAGCGGTCTTTCTCCCTCTCCCCTTTTCTGTCTAGCTTCTCCTGTCAGCACATTGCACTTTCTTCCTATCAGCCACAGGCAAACACTATCCTGCCTTGGCGGAAACAGTGTCCAGACGGCGGAGGAATTTATAATAACCCCTCTTTGACACTGACAGTGAAAGTATCTCTGGTATGCATTGCGCCAGCCGTGATAGCCAATAGACAGTGAGTGCTTGACAAAGCTGATGTGCTAATTGAAGTACCTGACTGGTGCTTTATCAAACACTGTGTGATGATATTTCTATGATTTGCATTTTTGGGGTACTGCGTATTATTAATTTGTTATTGTATGCAGCACAGTTTATAGACAGTGATTCATGGTGTCTAAAATAAGACAAAAATACAATAACACTCAATCTCTCTGTTTGTACTTTGGGCTCTAATGAAAAACAAATAAATCCACTTTGCTTGCAAACTTTTAATAATCAGTCAAAATTAAAGCAATAAAATGTATAGAGCTTTAAATATATCGTTATATGGTAAATATTGTTGGTTTTTTGAAAAGATAAACCAAAAACAAAGAAAAAACAGTCTTTTAAAAATGAAATTCCAATGATTTAGTTATGTGCAGTTATGGAAATGTGTTTACAAATATAGATGTAGATACAGTCGGTACTTGACTAAAACTAAAAATAGTGAAAAGTTTGTAAAATTGCACTACGTAATGTGATGTTGCTAGTTAGATGTACACGAAAATGGTGTAAACAAATAACACAACAGATCATACAGAATGGGTTAAATGGGTGCTTTCATCGGGGGATTGAGGGAGATGCGTGGCGCGACACGACACAGGTAGGTTGTTCAAGGGTGAAATAAAATTATATAATATAAAATAGATACTCTATGGAAGGAAAACGATGTTGTGACTACGTTGATTAGGCTTTACATAACTAGGTGATTAAGAGTTCGTAATGGAAACAAAAATATCGGTGGAGTACTATATGCAGGGAATTGTGGTTGATTCTAGTGAACATTTTGAGGTGTGTGTGTATGATGAAGTCAAATGCTCGATAGCAAGGCTTGTGAATGATAACTTCAAGCAAAACTTGAGATCTTAACAAAGTCAGTCACTGTATGGTGGAGATGGTGCGAGTTGGTGCTACATTCATTTGGCCGCTTGGAACATAATCAAGCGAAAATTGATCACTTTGGCAGCCAGCAAGCGGTTGCACTCGGCTGAAGAAACCAAATTGATGCGGTTAAAGGAAGACTCAAGAGATGACTCGGTAAAATCATGTTTTAAAATCTTTGGCAGCGCCTTCATATCTCCAAATGGACCCTAAAATTACAAATCTTAGTATATCTTTTAACACACAGGTGGCTGTACAGACCTTGAGAATCATGTAGTGGATAGTCATTGGAGTGGCAAGCTTCGATTTGAGAGACAACTGAAAGCTCAACTGTCGTTCGCAGCTTTGCGTTGGATCACGCTGATCATCATTGTGACCCGTGACCCGAGCTTTGACTACCCACTGCAGATTAAAGGCAGAAAAGCGGGCAGTTTCATAAAAAAGCTTATGAATGTATTCATCTGAAATAGCAACATAAGTTGGATACAATTTTAAGTTCCACAAAACAGTGTCCCACTTACCAGTTCGAAATGGACGAAATTGCAGGTCATTCAGGGTGATCTTCTCAAAAGAGAGCAAGTTGAAAAGCGAGTCAAACAGCTTCTTATCTTCTTTGGCAGTTTTTTCTTGCGACTGCAAAAACAGCAGCACTGTTTTGCCAGACTTCTCGGGGTGTTGGCACAATTCGGCGTGAAACTCTGATGTGACAGGATCAAGACAAAAGAACCAAAACAAAAGTTGTACATATGGCAAATGGTTAAAGTGAACGTGGTAGTTCGGCACACCGACCTGCTTCGTGGTGGGGCCCGTTCCAGCCGCATCCTATGGGGGCGTACTTGCAAGAGACGATGCGCTCCTCGCAGATGTCACCCGTGTGCTTGTCCAGAAGGGAACGAGGCAGTTCCTGGCTGCAGAATGGACACACGCCAGGTAGTTCGCAAACGGCCTTCTCAACGGCCAAGTTTCGACTGCAGGCATCCTTCGAGATGACACAGCGACAGTTGGGACAGGTCGCAGTTTCGTCTCGAATTCGAGCATCCGCGAGGAGATGGGTAAAACAGCCGGCGCACATTAGGTGCCCATTGGTGCACTGGGTAAAGCAAAAAAAATATAAAAAGCAGTTAACTCATTAGAAGTTTATAATGTATAGTTTGTGAGATAAAGAACAAGTAAAAACAAATAATTTTTTAAATGAGGAGAAAAATGTATTAGTAAAGTTTCAATGGCGATAGTAGATAATGATGGCTGTTTCTAATCACCATCTGGTACCTGTAAAAAAGAAAAAGCAAATCTACGGAAAAGAGAGAAAAGAAAGAAAATGGTGAATGAGAATTTTGGCATTAGAAGCGGGTTAACAGTTTCATCTGTACAAATCAATGCAATAAAGATTATCCATATCCAACTAAAAGTATAAAACTTCTTTTTGTTATATTTTTTTCAAAATTTTTATTTTAAATTTTAATAAATTCAAAATTCTGATCATCACATCAGCCCATCACACAGATGTCTTGAAACTTTTTGAACATGTCTGAGATAAAATTACATTTGTTGTTGTTGTGTTGTTGTGAGTTTGTGGAGTTTAGTGACTGTGAACACATCGATTACTAAATAAATGAGTGGCAAGTTGCGGGTAGGCTGATGTTTACAGGCAAGGGGGGGGGGATAGGCGTAGTGAGTTCAAAAAGTATCTCCACTAACTCACTAAATGTAAACACTACCTCAATGAAAACATAAATGATTTTTAGCACATCAATATTAACGGATTTTGACAGAAAATGGGGTTTGTTTTTGTCGTGTGTCGAGTCCAAATGTGAAGCATTTTTGCGCTAGATGACTTACCTTTGGGTGCTGTGAAATAATTGGGTTAGCTCCTACTTTTGTACCAAACAATTTGGCTAAACTAAAAAGATAATAATAAAAGTAAAAAATAGTACAACATACTTGATAGACGGAGGATTTAGGCAGGTCGAGACAAACGGCACAGCAGAGAATGCCACCGAGGCGTTGCTCGAGTTTTGAGCCAGTGCCAGGGGCAGAGGTGATAAGAGAGGAGCCTGAGGCTGCACCTGAAGACTTTTTGAGGCGTTTTGAAGACTTGGAAGACTCCTTTTCAAGAGGGCGTTTTGGTGAGCTGCTCGAGTTTGAGCTAGAACTATTTGTCTCTTCATCAACGACTCCACTGCCTGCTGAGGAGCCTGAGGCCTGTAACACTGAGGCGGTCACCTCATTGACCAGATCTTGAACGAAAACGATAGTAGGGGCAGATGACGCAAGAGACCCTGACGATCCTGAACCTAAAGACTGTGATCCCGAAGGATCACCTATTTCGAGGTTGAGTACATTGAGTACTTGAGACATCTTTACTCGACTTGAAGCGTACAGCAGTAAAAGCTTTTTATCAGAGTGCAGGGTGACCTTTGGCGTCGACGAATTAATACGTGAACGCAAAGAGGCTAAATGAGGGGAATGAGAGCACTGTGAAGGAAGACCTCTGGAGAATTTTCACTTGAAGATAGAACTACGAGGAAATTGGCGCTGGTTGTGGTGGGGAAAAACAAAATAGAGCATCTAGAGAGCAGTAGATAATTAGGCAAAGCCACCTCTTCAGCACGAATGTGTGTGTTGTTTGGGTGCCTGCGAGAGCGTGCTGTCTTGAGCAATTCTTTCGGGTGAAAGCAAAGGCGCTGCCGAGTGCAGACTTCAAGGACTGAAGGCGGAGGAGGAGGAGGAGAACAAGGAGAAGGGAGCCAGGAAGAAGAAGGAAAGAACTGGACGAGAAAGGAGGAATCCTTACTGCTGGCCTCTCATGGCGCCCAGTACTGATCGTCCCCAGAGTAGAGCGAGCAGAGAAGAGAACTGTACTGTACTGGAGGAGACGTCACGAGATCAAGATCTGATTGCGAGGAGGGAGTGAGGGTGCGTTGGAGAGTTGGGCAACTCACAAATGGATGGATCGGGTGAAGGAAGGGAGCTGTGCTAGAGGGGCACCGAGAAACTGCAGCACCAGCAGCAGTCAGAGCAAGTGTGGAGACAGACGAAACTGGCCAGCAGTTTTAGTGACGCAGTGCGTATTCTCTCTCTCTCTCTCTCTCTCTCTCTCTCTCTCTCTCTCTCTCTCTCTC